TTTTTTTTTTTTGGTTTATATGATTGTTTGCCGTGAGGGATTTTTGGGTAACTAGTTTCTTTTTCTGTTATATGATTGTTTGCCAAGAGATTTCCAAATTGCAGGTTGTTGTGAGAGATTTTTGAACAATTGAGTTCAATGAATCGATTGGGTTCTGTCGAACTTCAATCCTGAAAATGGAAAGAAATGAATCGAGCTGGGTTCTGTCGAACTTCAATCTTGAAAATGGAAAGAAATGAATCGAGCTGGGTTCTGTCGAACTTCAATCTTGAAAATGGAAAGAACACCCTATCGAACTTCAATCTTAAAAATGGAAAAAACATCAGAAAATCTTGAAAATGGAAGAAACACCGGAAAGAATAGAAACAGTAACCGATGGCCAAAGGAGCAATTGTTAGTGGTGATGTGGGACCCATTGGATGGATTTGGTGCGTTTTTGCGAGGTAGCATGTGACATGGCAAAAGTTTTATGGCATGTCATCACTTTTTTAAGATTTGCTTTCCACATCATCAAAAAAAAAATAAAAAATGCCACTTAAGCAGGGTTAACGGCTCAAATTAACAGAAGGACTAACAGAGTGCATTTCGTATAGTTGAGGGATCAAAAAAGTGCAAAAAATTGTTGAGGGACCAAAAATGTTCATTTCTTAAAGTTGAGGGACCAAATTAAGCATTTAACCTTGATACAAAAAGCTGCATAAACTAACTTTTTCAATCCGCTAGCGATTTGAACCCTAACCGCTATCCGCTAGTTTCAAACCGCTAAATAAAAATTTTACCAAACACTTTAGTTGTAGCGGTTTCGAAATATATAAATTTACCAAACACCTATATTTAACGGTTTAGGTAAAACCGCTAACCGCTACCCCAAAACCGCTATACCAAACAGGGCCTATATTTGCTGACTCCGATTATTATAAATTAAGTCCTTCGATTCATCCCATTTTAACTTAATTCATCCCATTTTAACTTAGATAATTATCTCAGAAAATAAGCTTGCAACTCATGAATTTCGATTGCTAAATGAAAAATGCATGTGGGGTTCAATTTTTAAGAATTTGGTAACCTGACCAAACAAGTTAAATTTAAATTTTTTTAAATGATTTTTAAATTTGTAAGAGAGTAAATTGCTCATAAACTTTACTAAACATGCTTAATCAGTATCTGCAACTAAAAGAATAGTTTTATTATTTTTAAATTACAAAAAATATTTCAACCCACACAATAAATCAAAACCCTTTTGACCATAACACATTTTTTGTGAAAAGATTCTTTTGGGAACAGAAACCTCCTACATTTTTGTCTTATTGGATTCAATTAAGTAGAATAGAACCATTGGCTTCTATTTCTTGTGTTCAATCAATTATTGGAAGGCCTACCAACTGAAACATATTGCCCTCCGATCTACTGTAGTTCGGAAGAATATCTAATGCAATGTTGTGGTGTTTTTTTGAAGCCTAAAATACAATATAGAATTTTCTCTTTATCTTATTTTTGTATTAAACTAAAATTTATAAAAATATAAATTATTTATAAAATATTAATTTAAT